ATAGCAAAAGGATGGGAACTTTCAAATATAAAGGGAAATTATTAAGAGATGGTTTTGATTAAAGAAATAAGAAAGAGAAGAGAATTTCTTGGTCAACAATAGGAAAGTTTTTTGCATTTGGTGTTGTTGGGCTACTCTCAGTTATTAAATAATGGAGCAACTCACTTTTCTGCTATTTTTTCAACTATGTTTACTGACTCACAAGTTTGGATAATAGAGATTTGAATCTTTTTTGTTGGGTTTGTGTTATTTGTTCTTATTTTTTTATTTATTTACAATATATTTTCATTGTAATTCTCTAAATGGAATCTGATTAGATAATTTAATCTCTTAACAATTTAACCAAAATATAACATAAGTTTATCATTCTACAAAGTGTTCCAAGATGTTGGTTTATCAACCTAAGTTTAACCATGAAGGTATGTTGGTTGCTATTTTTAAAAAATATTATATTTTCTTTAATTTCATTTAAAATTAGGTCATGGATTATTATTGTAGTTGGCTTTTTATAAAATGAAATCAAATTGCTCCGATTTATTAGATAATTGCCTTATTACATAAATTTTATGTATTTAATTTTGGAATTGTGTTACTTATTATATATATTTTGTAACCTCTTAGACGTATTTAACAACTTTGATTTGTAAATAATGTTAAAATAGATATAATAATATTACTAGAAGTGTGACTAATTTGTTTCATGCACTGGTGCTATTACTTATTCTCGTTTAAGTAAAGAATATGAGAGACTTAACTTTTAATATTTGTCAAAGTATTTGTACAAGAAAATAATCCTATCTAATAAGAATTAATGGTGTGCTTTGAAAGCTATGCCTTTAGGTTGTTCATCCTAATCTTTCTTTTTTTTTGGGTGGCTCTTATTTGTTTTGAGTTGTTCTTATCTTATCTTCCTTATTTGCTATTTGATTGTGATGTAGGTATTGTATCCTTTGTATGGTTGTAAAGATTCGAGTTTATGTTGTTTGCTTATTGACAAGGAACATAATTTGGTGTTTGTTTTTTTCTTTTCTAAAAGCTCAACAAGTTTTATGGATTTACTTCCCACATTTACTAATAACTTATACCTATAGTTTTTTATATGTGAGTGTTTGTTGTTGGAATAGTTTCCACCTTTTTTAAATGGTTATGTTTGCTTACATTCTTCACTATTTTTTTTTGGACTATAGCTTTTTTATGTTTTTTATTGGTTCTTACCAAGTTCTCTCTTTCTATCATGTTTGTCCTTTTAATTTACCAAAATAAAAATCTTATTTATTTTGAATTTCACCATTGATATTTTCGAAATTAATTGATTAGTATGTACTTTTTTTATTCATTAATTGTGAAGTTTGTTTTAGTTTATCTTATGGAGGTTGTTGGTTTTCAAATCAAATTTTCTTCTATATTTTGCTATTTTTTGTTAGTAACTTAGTTATAAAAATTTTTATCATTTAAGTACAGGGTTTATCGGTGTCATAGATGTCATTTAATGTTTGAGTTCTTTTTTAACTTTTTATCTGCTATAAGGTTTTAATTCTCCTCGGCTATTTTGTGCCTTAAATATGAAATAGGTATTTTTTTTATTGCTATTATTAGCTTATTTATCATTTTTTAGTTTTTAACATCTTTGACTTTTGTTATCTTAGTATTTTCATGATTGAGCATTAATATCCTTTTGCCTTTTGTTGTTTATGATTCTTATGTATTAGTATAAGAAATACTATAGGTTTTATGCATCAGGTTAAGGTAGTTCACGTCTTTTTTTTATTTTTTATGATTTATATGTTGTACTATTTGTATCTATTTTATCAATTCTTGTTTTTGCTTTATTCTTATCAGTGATATAAATGAGTTTACTTTTTTTATGCTCCTACTTTAGTTATTTTTTGTTAAGCATAATATGTGTTATGTTTCTAAACTATTTATTAAGTTTCTCTCATACTCAAATTATCCTTTTTATTTTTATTGACAATGGATGGTCATAATACAAATCAAACTAGAGAAAATAGAGCTAGGAAGACTAAAAGATTGAGACAAAATAGAAATATGGTAGGAATAAGATCAACTTTTAACAAAACAATTTTGAAAAGAAGAAAAGTTCACCATATCAGTGTTTATTCTAATGTTAATGTTGAAGGCAACTTAGAAATTGTTAGCACAGAATCTACTTATGTTATTAAATGCAGTAACCAGCCCCATCCTTTGCCTAACCATTATAGACCTTATATCTCATCTAATGTATCTTCGAGTTCCAACAAAGTGTTTGTTCCTCATATTGATCATGTTAATGCCTATAATTTGACAATTGAATCAACATGTACTGTCCAAGTTTTGGATTGATCCTTTAATCATTATTTAGCTAAATTGTTATCTATTAACTTTGGTACTTATCCTTTGTGTAATTATGTGTTTTCTTTTGTCAAAAGGTTTTTTTGTCTAACCTTTCTACTTTTTTTTTCCTATAAATGATTAGGTTGGTAGATATGCTAATCATTCTAGTAATGTCCCATAAAATTCTACAATCCAGATTGAGTGAATGCATAACACTCAATAGTTATAATTAAGTTTAGTTCATTTGTTTGTGATTTTTGTTTACATGATGTTGAAAAATGGTTTTTTTTTTGTCCCTTTGATTTTTTTAAGAAGATCCACTGAACCTTTGAATTTAGGTAGACCTACATATATTTATCCACTTTGTGGAGTTTGCATGTGATATGAAGAGAGAATTAATATAACATAATGACCTCAAATCCAACATTTTCTTTATGCTATAAAGAAGGTTGATTTCACTTGCCTAGAACTAATTGCGCACCTACATATTTAGATCATTTATTAAATTTTAGTTACATGGTCGACCTTCATCTTTTAGATACAACATTAGACTTTATAATTCTATGTTTCAATTTACTTCTTTAGGTACGAAGGTTGACCATACAATAAATAATAAACTAGGACTATATGTTTTCAAAATAAGCGATCAAAATTATCTTAGGATTGGCTCCTTAGTACCTTCATTTGGACATAGACCTTAATTTGTAAAGTTTTATGTTTATGATACTAAAAATAAGATTCTTAATAGGAAGTCAAGATACTAGGAACATTTTTTATAAAAGCTTAATTCATGGTCTGTTACAAATGTTAGCTGATAACAATAAAATTGTTAAAGCTTTTAAAAGGTCAAAGATAGAATGAACCAATCCAAATTTGTCAAACATTAAACTTAAACTATTAGGAACCAGGACTGATTTGGATAGAAACATGTTTTCTACTACTCTTGAGATTGCTAGGTTGATTGTTGGAGATATTAACCGACCAACTTAGTATCCAGAGAGATACTATTATTAAGCATAAATCTGAAGGTTTTCAACATATTAATAGCATTAATCATTTATATATGCCTATACAATACCCTTTGCTCTTTCCTTTTGGGGAGGATGGTTACAGGACTGATATTATGTATAAGTTAAGTGGGGGTAGAAGAACAATTAATACAGAATGTGTTATTATAAGATAATATTGTGCATATTTGGTCTAGTAATGCCTAAATGAACAAAGTACATTACTAAAAGGAAGAAAATTATTTCACCAATTTCTAGTTAATGCATTTGCCATTGTGGAAAGTGAGAGACTTAATTACATAAGAGCAAATCAAAAACAATTGAGATATGATTTATACCAAGGAATAAGGGATACAATTTCACAAGGTGACCTATATTCAAATGTTATTAGAAAGTATATCATTCTACTAGCATCTTTTACATCTGGTCTTCGATACATGTTTCAAAATTATCAAGATGCTATAGCCACAATGTCACTTCTATAGATTTCTTGATCTTTTTATAACTTTCACTTACAATTAAGATGGTCAGAAGTACAAGCAGCCTTAAGTCAATACTTGAACAAAGACTCGAAGATTGGCCTAATTTTATTTGTAAAATTTTTAGGCTTAAACTACGAAAGCTCATAAATGATTTGACAGAAAACTATCACTTTAGTAAAACAATTGATTTCTTTAGTTCCTTTCTAACATTATTGATTTACTTTTCTTCCAATAATGGTTGCTATATTGTTCATGCCTTTAAGTTCTAAGTTCATTAGTCTGAAAAGGCATAAAGTTTCACAAAAAATTTTTATTAATTGAATTAATTTATTCATTTACTTTTTCTTTTTGTAGTCATATCTAATGTTGAATTATAAAAGAAAGGGCTACTACATGTTCATATTTTACTTTGGTTGCACAAAGAAGACAAGTTATCAATTGCAGCTAATGTTGATATATTTATATTTGTACAAGTCCCATATAAAAACTCTAATTCTGTTGGTTATGAAGCTATTACATAGTTTATGATACCTGGACTTTATGTTATAGCATTCTTCAATCCTTCTTTTATGGTTTATGAGCAATGATCAAATTGTTTCCCAAAGGAGTTCCAAGAACAAACTGTCATAGAAGAAAATAGTTTCCCTTTGTATAAAAGAAGACAATCCTTAAGTGGCAATTGTGTTGCAATTAGAAATGATGTCAAGCTAGATAATAGATAAGTTGTCCCTCATAATATTGACTCAGTCATCAAACACCAATCTCATGTCAATGTTGAAATGTGCAATAGGTCAGCCGTTAAGTATTTGTTCAAGTATATCAATAAAGGACCTGATAAAATACAAACTGTTCTCCAACAATCTATAGCATCTTCTACTCAAGTGAACTTAAACAAACCATGAATTGATGAGATAAAAACTTATCTTGATTGCATGTATTTATTTGCTCATAAAATTTGCTATAGATTATTTGAATTTAGCATACATTTCAAAGAACTAGCTGTGCAGAGGTTAATTGTTCATTTACCACACCAACATACAATTGTTTTCAATAATAATAAAAACCTTAATGGAGTACTCCATAGACCAGATATAAACAGAATAATGTTAATTGAATGGATAAAGACAAACATGTGATATGAGCATATGTAGTAACATACTTACTCAAACTTTCTTACAAAATGGATTTGGCACTCAACCGAGAAGCTATGGACAGAACGTAAGAATGAAAGATCCATTGGTGGAATTTTATACATTTACCCACTGCTGGTGAGTTGTATTATTTACATTTGCTTTTGAATATTGTTAAAGGGGCTAGAAGTTATGAAAAACTAAGAATAGTCAATGGCATCATGTATCTAACCTTTCAACTAGCATGTTATGCAGTTGAATTGCTAGGTAATGATAATGAATGGCAAGACGCATTGGTTCAAGCTTCTCAATTAGCATCTGCATCTGAAATAAGGTAATTTTTTATTACATTGATTATGTTATGTGAGGTCAGTGATCGAACAACACTCTTCAAAAATAATTAGAGATTATTATCCGATGATATTGAATATTAACTATGCTGAGCCTTTCAAGTGCCAAACTACCAAATTTCTAATGATTTTTTAAGAAACCAAGTTCTTATAGCTTTGGAGGATATTTTCAAAAAAAATTAGAGTTTTTGGCTTATTATAACATTCCACTCCCATCACAAAGTTCTTCTCATTATTTTAATGATAGATTGCCCAACAAGAGTTGAACTATGACCTACCAAACCTAATGCAGAATATAAATAATTATTTGAAAAGTTGAATAGTGACCAATGAGCAATCCATGATATTGTCATACAATCAATTAACAACGATGAAGGGGTTATGTTTTTTATCAATGGACAAGGAGAAACAAAAAATTATTTCTTCGACAAACATTTACTGCTAAGCTTCGTTCAATCGGGCAAATTATATTGGTTATTACTTCTTCGGGAATAGCTTCCTTACTATTGCCTGGTGGTCAGACAGCACATTCAAGGTTTAAAATATTACTAACTGTTAATGACTATTCCTCATGTTTTATTACCAAATAAACTTAACTTGCTAGGTTAATCCAAGCTAGTAAACTCATTATCTAGGACAAAAACATTGATGATGCATCGAAACTACTTTGAAGCTTTAGATAAAACCTTAAGGGACATCAATTCTAACAATGATCCTTATGCACGATCAAAATGTTTCAATGAAAAAATAGTTATTCTCGATGGTAACTTCAAACAAGTGCTCCTTTTGATGAAGGGTAGAACAAGAAAAGATATAGTGAATGCCAGCATCAGTAAATCATATCTATGGGCCAACTGCAAAACGTGTTTTCTGAACATAAACATGCAATTACTTAAAAGAATTATGATAGACAATAAAAGAGCAGAAATGCAACAATTTGCCTAGTGGTTACTTGAAATAGGCAATGGAAATATTGGGATCACACTTGAGAATAGCAAAGATGAAACACAGTTGATAAAAACTTAAAGTTGACTACTAATTGCATATGATTGTGATCTAATTTAAGTGATTTGTTCAAGTATCTATGCTAACTTTTTAAGCAATTGTGCTGATAGTATTTATCTTATACAGTGAGCCATTATCACTCTAAATAATAAAATTGTTGATGTTCTCAATTAACATATTTAATCCTTGATTCTAAGAGAATTGAAAACTTATCTAAGCTTTAATTTTATCTCTCTACAATCTAGCAACATTTCATAATAAGTTCTTTATCCTTCAGATTTCCTTAATTCCTTAAACTTTCTAGGAATTACAAATCATGAACTCAAATTGAAAATAGGCTATGTGATTATGTTGTTGAAAAATATAAATCAAACTTTAGGTCTTTGTAATGGAACGAGACTTATAATCACACAATTGGCTCTGAGTGTGATTGAAGGTAGAATTATTAGTGGTAGTCATATTGGAGAAAAAAGTTTTCATTCTTAGAATTGTCATGACAACTAACACCATAATTGGCCATTTATGTTTAGGAGGAAACAATTTCCTATCAAATTGTCATATGTAATGACTATCAATAAGAGCCAAAGTCAAACCTTAGAATATGTGAGTCTTTATTTGCCTAAACCTGTGTTTAGCTATAGACAATTATATTTTGTTTTGTCAAGAGTCACTTTCTACCAAGGTTTAAAGATTTTGATAAATAATGAGAATGAAATGCATGCAAATGAAACTATGAATGTTGTGTTTAAGGAAATCTTTGAATATTTGATTATAGTTTTATGTTTGTTGTATGTTACATTCTAAATTTGGTTCCCTAGCCTACTTTTTCTAATTACAAATGTTTTCATCCATGCATCATACTAGCTGGTACACCTTACCCCTCCAAAAATAGATTTTTTTTTGTTAATTAGCAATGTAGAATTTTTTAACTTTAGTGCTCTTCATCTTTTCCAAGTTAGCTACATTCACTTCTATTTTATTAAGAGAAACCAAAAAAATATTAAGTTAGAATCAACAAATATTCCCAAGTATTAAAGATTCATAGCTAGCTACCTTTTCTAAATAATGATATTAATTATGGCTTTTGATATAACTCAATTTTTAGAATTTATTTCAACTATGTAGTAGCACTATTGTAAATAATACTATGAATTATCTATTGTTCATTTTTTGATATTTTCACTAAACAAAGTGTATATATATATATATAAGTTAGCCTTTATAACAAAACCATTTCATATTATATCTTAGGCAATATTAAAACAATGGCAATTTTACCACTGTCTAAACTATTAGACAAGAATCAGATAAGTACTATTGAGGTTAAAATATTAAGACCTTTGAGATCTATCAATCCACGAGCAAACAATCACCTTATTAGCCATAACTTTTTAGCCATTGATATCCATGTATGTTATTTAAAATTTTACTTACATTATTTAATAATGGCGGTCCTTGGTGAAAATAAAACAATATGAAACAAGTTATAATCAAACGATGTTATATGTTGCTTTTCGAGAACATCTTGAAATAAGACCAAATTTGTTAGATATCTAACGTCAATGTCACCAAAAGGGAAAAAAAATACTATAATGTAGCTCCAAACTGATATACAATCAGTTTTGCTAGATTCACCAAAGTTGTCAAATTGAACAAACCACCCAACTCTTTTGCCGCTTACCTCTATAACTTTGTCAATACTTAGCAATTAGAGAATAAAACTAAGAAAAATAAATTCCTTTCAAGTTTTAAGTCTTTTACAAGATCATTAGTTTTAAATTTCAAATTCTAACCCAAATCTTAAGCTTACTTTTCTTTTTTCAAACATTGTCAAATGTCATTAGGTTGTTAGTTAGTATCAATAAATTAGGCAATATAGATGTTGGGAAAAATCTTCAAAAAGTGACAAAGAAAAATTTGCAAGTGCAAATTTCATAGTACAATCTATCAACAACATTAATCAACTCCAGTTTTTTTCATATAAAGATCAGTTATATTCTTTTCACAAATTATGTTTGTCACAGGAATGATATGATAAGTGTCACACTATAGGAGGATTTTGTGCACCTCCGTAGAGAAAATCAATTTTTAGGCAATAAAGATAAGCCAATCATTGTCTTTGCAGCCATGACCATCATAAAGTTCATGGGTACGTATTACATTTTTTACTTTCAATACTATTTAGTTTTTTATAGATAAAAAATGTAACCACTCAATTGGTTATAAAATAGTTTTTTTTTTTTTTGTTTTAAATGACATACACAACTCTATTACGCCATATACAATTCTCACATTCTATTACATTTAAAAAAAATAAGGCAACTATCAATTGCAACATGTTCAACTTCAAGGATTATTATCAATCTTGACATTCCACCTATTCTTGAGCGAAAGGCTAAGTATGCCTAAACATAAATGCAATTCAAATTACAATGGCTTAAATAGAGTCCAGAATTTTTTCCCAGGTTCAAAGCTAAAAAATCAAAGGGGAAGTTGCTTAATTTAAAAATTGTGCCTCACCTTGCACTGTAAGATGAAAAAAAAAAAAAGAACAAGATAACCATTCAACAACTACTCTAATTAGACCAAACCAACTTTGGTACTGATTTAATCAAACTATAATATCTACCTATCTATTCTTTGGAAAAAAAAAACCAACAACTAACAAACTTTCAAAATTTCTTTCAAATTTAGAACACTACATACACATGTGCAAAAAAATCCCTGAGAAAGATGCCTCCCATAGTTGGTTCTATAACTATTACAACCAATGAACCAAACAGTGATTACATGTGATGAAAAGTTCTGGTGCACACAACATAATGAAAAAGTTCCCACACCCAGGTATACTCTAAACTGAAAATAAAAACAACTATAACAGCTTCAATCATTTTTACAAAACTAACAAATCTATCCTTGCAGTTGTAAAATGTCTATCATAGTTGAAGATCACACTAAAATTGCACAATTCATTTTTTTTAGGACCCTAAAGATAGATTATTGCGAGACACAATGATAAGCTTGGTTGCATTGGCAAATGAAGACCCCATGACTCTTTCACAACCTTTCGAAAGACTTGAAAATCAAAAAAGAGTTTTCCAAGTCTCCATAATAAAACAATCATTTAACACTAGAATTTCTCTTTTTTTTTTGTTCATACTATTTTATCAGCTAAACAATGTTGAGAAAGACTTTTCTCTTTCAATCTTACCTCTAATTGTGGGTGAACACTCATCTTCTAAAAAACAGGTACAAACTATATAGTTATCTAAATAAAACATTTAAACTAAACTACAATAATAAACACAATAGCTAAAACAAGAATATTAAAAGCAATTGCCAATGTCACCAACACATGCAAACATTCATTTTAACTTATTTCCTAAAAAATCACCAGCCAAGAAGTAAAAAATCAAGTTACACTCCCTACCATAATTTTTAACACTTTCAACCAAAACAAAAGAATTGAAAAACTCATTTTTCTTGCCTTAATTTGTTCTATCTTTCAGTGACAGTGGCAAAGGGATAGATCCCCTCTACCAGTGAAACACAAATATCTACTCAAATACATATACATATGAAATAACATTTTGTTTGAATGCAAGGTATGACTGACAAAACTCAACAAAGAGATTTATTTCTATATACATATTATACACAAAACTTTGTGTGTTACAATGGATAGCAAATAAACATTTACTTTTTCCTTTTTTTTTCTTTTCAATAACAATAATAATAAGGTAAATAACCTTTGCATAGATGACAAGACAAAGCACTTGAAAGATTTGACTTTTTGTCTAGAACAACTTTTTATTAGGCTAAATATTAGAAAGAAAATTTGTGAAGGAAATCAAACACATAATGACTGGTATATGTTTGATTGTCCATCATAAATGTACTTCACATATAAATGCATACTATGATAGAAACAACTTTTTATTTCCTTTTTTTCTAGAAAAAGGTAAATCCACTATAGTGCATTAAGTGGAGCACAATAATAATGCTTAGTAAAAACTTATTTCTACATAATATAAGTGATATCCACACAAAAAAAAATTTTTTAATTACCTCATGATTAACTGCTTATGCTTCTAGATTATATTTTAAACTTTTCTGTGTTAATTGTTTATGTTTGTAAATTATCCTTTGAATTTCCTTATGATTAATAACCTATCATTTTAGTTTGCATTTTAAACTTACTCATGTTCATTTTGACAGATTTTATAATTTTTAGGCCCTATTCACATAAACTAGATAGATACACTTTTATTTTGAAAAAAACAAATCAATCCTGGGTGAAATTGAGAATCATTTCTAATTGAAGTAAAATATAGCTTCTTGATAAAAAAATTACAATATTATTAAAATAATAGAAGTAAAATGTAGTTAAAATAAACACAAAAATTCATATAAAACAATCAATCATATTATTCATTTAATTAATTCTACAAAAACTATTATTTATATCATTTTATGTTATTTATTCCTTTAATTCAGTTTTTCATTTTAATTTATTTTGTCCTTTTGTAAGAGGCACACAAATTTTGAGTATTATAAAAAAAAAAAAAACTAATTTAGCTTAAGTGAGACTTTCAAGCCTATAAACATCATTATTTCATCTCTATCAATTCTTTATTTTTCAACCCCTTAACCAATCTCCATGTATGCCATTTTCATTTTTTAGTTTTGAGTCCTTATCTTTGTCTTCTCAACTTTTTCTTATTTAATATTTCTTTCTATTATTATGTTAAGGTAGTAATGGGAATTAATACCCCATCATAGATGACAATCAATGCTTTAATAAAAATCGATAATTGACAAAAATGACAATCACTATAAGCTTTCTAGCTAGTTGTAGACAAAAATCATTATAGGATTAGCAATTTGCATCCATTAATGCAAAACCCCCACTATGGAAATAGATTATGACTAAAAAAAAAACCTTGATAAAAAAAATAAAAAATGGAATTATAGCATTTTTAGTTCCTAAATTTTGTTTCATACCCTAATTTTTAAAAAGTTCTAATTGGATTCTTTATTACCCAAAGTTATCCTACTTTATTCTTTTCATCTATGAAACTATCTAAATTAACGATAAATCCCAACTTATATCATATGATAACATAACTTGCACTCACTTGACAAAGAAAGATCAAAATAAATTTTTTTTCAAAATTTAAAGACCAAAGTTGAAATTATCTCGAAATTTTATATATGTCATACATATCTTATAAAAATATTAAATTTAAAATTATATTTTTATATTTTTTCTTGTAATCTAATCTATTAGTTAAATTTTTTGTTTTAAATAAAAAATAGATATATAAAACTTAAAATTAACTTAAAACTTCAAATGTCAATTTTAAAAAATTAAATATATTTTAAAAACAATAAAAATTTCTATTAAAAATATTATTTTACTAATAAATCATAATAAAAATATTATTTTCTATCAAAAAATTATTTTTTAAAATATTAAATATCTTTTTTCATTTTAAATATATTTTATAAAAAAAGAAAAATAAAAAATGCTTTAAATTATATTTTTTATTTTATATGAATATA